CGTGCTGAGCCTGTGTCATTCTCCTCTGTGTTCTGAGAGTGCAGTGGGCACAGGTGGACCTCCATAAACTGTTGCAATGGAGCCCACATGGACAGAGACCTTGCGAAGCACAGGGTTAGGAAGAATGCCATAGGGTGCAGACCAGGCAGCTGCGGAACCTCAGATGACTTGGCAGAGGATGCAGCATTGAACTGGGGTGTGAAGGGCAAGAGAGGTTTCCTGGGAGCCAGTGTGGCCCAGCCTGAGACACACCTAGGACTGACCGTCATCGCTACACAGGTGATAGCCCCTTCCTTGCCCTCGCCACCATCTCCCAAAGGGGATACATTTTCAGTGAGTGTAGGTATTTCAAATTCACTGTCTGTGTTCTCCAGGGTTAGTTGTTAGCTAGTTAGTTAGCTTTCATGTACCTTCTAGTTATAATTATATATTTTTTTAAAATACCTGGAAATGGGAGGGGAGTTTCTCATCAGAGACATCTCTGAGAAAGGTCTGATAGAGCTTCAGCAGGGGTGTCATGTGGATCCATGCATGAACAGTGCTCCATGCGTCATCTGGAAAGAGGACCGCGCCTCTGAGGGTGATTGTGCCATTCCTGTGAAGCTTCAAGGTCTGTGTCGCCACTTGTCCCCGAGTTTGCCTCACTTTTCTTTAGTACTTATTGTCTTCTATATGCCGTAAGTAATAAAGTTACTCAATGCCTGCTCTGCGTGGCTGGACCACCAATGCCACAGATGCAGAGACTTTGCTTTGGCACGGACGTGTCCCGGGTCCCCAGACACTGTTCACGGGTGTTTGGTGAAAGAGCGGATGTGGGATGAACAGTTACTTCGAATGAGTGACCACTTGACCTCTTCCCAGATCTGGCCCAGGTAAGGGGAGAGGCAGTTGCCCTAAGGGAAGGAGCACTTGGGTTTGGAGTGTCACTATTATTTCAGCCAGAGAGCATTGTGCAGCCGCTTCCTGTTGAGTGGTTGCGTCAATCTGTGTCCACCACAGAGATCATCAACGTATGTAACATACATCAACATGTATGGTAGCAGAAAGGGCAGGACCTGGAATGCAGCTGGGCACTCTGCTGTGTGTGACTGTCGTGGACACATTTACTCCACCTCAGGAGTTAGCTACAGTGCTGTCAGGAGACCTGGTTCACATTTCAGCTGTGTCCCTGTGGTCACTCGGTCCCCCTACCTCATCTCAGACTCTTTTCTTATAAAGTGGGGGCCAGAACCCCCACTTTAGCATGTGCCAGGCACTGAGCCCCCGACCTCCGCAGCCCCGCTCCCAGGCTTACAGTGTGGGTGGGTTTCCCAGCCTGTCTCCCAGCCAGGCTCTGGTCCTCCCCAGG